CACCACACACACACACACACACACACATACACACACACACACACACACACACACACACACACACACACACACACACACAAGCTCACACACACACAGGCTCTCACACACACACACACACACATACACACACACACACACACACACACATACACGGATATACACACACACACACACACACACACATACACACACACACACGCACACACACACACACACACACACACACACACACACACACTCTGGCAAATCCATACTCATAAACGCGCACACACACAAATAAACACAAAGACACTAACAGACACACAGGCTGGGTTTACATGCTCTGAGAGGAAGACAAGCGACACACACACATACCCACACATATGCATACACACACACACACACACACAAACTCTGGCAAATCCATACTCATAAACGCGCACACACACAAATAAACACAAAGACACTAACAGACACACAGGCTGGGTTTACATGCTCTGAGAGGAAGACAAGCGACACACACACAAACCCAAACATATGCATACACACACACACACACACACACACACACACAAACTCTGGCAAATCCATACTCATAAACGCGCACACACACAAATAAACACAAAGACACTAACAGAAACACATATACGCATACACACAAACATACCCCCACACACACTCATTTACAAGCATACACACGCACAGGAACACCCAAAACCACTCAGACACACAAGCAAAAACACTAACTCTCTCACACACACAAATTAACACACAGACACACAAACATAAAATAACACATGATCATATGCCCACTCAAACATATATACACCCACCAAAACAAACACACTGTCATGGGTCGGGTAAGGGGAAAAGGGGGCGAGGACTCAAGTGCAAACAATAATTGGATTTTATTAATAATAAAGTAAAAACAAAAGGCAAAACAAAACTACCCCGAGGGGGAAAACATTAACAAAACACACAAACTTAGCTGGACTGACAAGACAAGGCAAGACTGGAGCAGGGACACGGGGAGTGTAGACAACGAGCTGGCAAAGGACTGAAAACATGAGGGGGATTATAAAGCAAAAAGTAAATTGACACACAGGTGAACACAATTAACTAACAATGGGTTAACAAGGAGGGTAGGACTAGACAATAGACGGGAGAGCGCATGACACAGAGAGACAACACAAGCCATGCGCTCACATAACACAACACTGAAGCACACAACAAAAGCACGTGACCACAATGTAAACACCGAGCCACGTGCTTTGACAAAAGACGCAAGACACGAGCACACGATGAATGAAAACACTCACCGTGCGCTCACACACGCAGCGTGCATGCTTCATCCCAGCGCCGACCAAAACCGAAACCAACAAGATTGAGACGCTGGGAATGAAACACCACGCTGCTGACAGACGAAAACACAAACCCGAGTACAAGAGCGCGCGCGTCTGAGGGACGCAGAGCGCGCGCGGCCGCGTCAAGCAGGAGCGCGCACACTCTGCGTACACCCACGACGGCGCGCGCGCACACAGAGACAGAAACAGGACCAGACACGGGTAGTGTCCGAGATCTGCCACCAAAACAAGAATTTACAAGACCAGAGTGGCAGAACCCTGACACACACATTCTCTCAAACACATGCACACACAAACAGTCAAACATGTACACACACACAGAACAGAAGTAAATAACTGATGTCTCTCTCTCTCTCTCTCTCTCTCTTTCTCTCAGTGGTTTGTTCAGTCCACATGTGCAGTTCAGGGATCGGGTTTATACGAAGGACTCGACTGGCTCACAGATCAACTCTCCAAACGATAATCCTGGAAGAACTGAAGAAAACACAGCAAATCCCCTCTGAATGTAGCCTTAGTACTGCAGGACATCTTTAGGACTGCTTTATTTTTATTCTCAATATTATTCTACATCTTAAGATATCACTCTGTCTCTGTATAATTAACTTGACCTCTGTAGACTTTTTTTTTTGTAATAATCTTTGACTGTTTTTAAAACTAAGATTGCCTGATATGCTTTTGTATTATGTTTAATAAATGTATATATATTTATTTACAAAATTATATTTTTGGTGTTATTTTATTTTATGCCTTTCAATAAATATATTACTAAAAATGTCAAAAATAATCATTAAATGAGGCACAACTTTGGAAGAATTAATTACAAATATTAATAAAAGAATTATATATATAATATATATATATACAACAGTTCTGTCTGGTTCTCGAATCTGATTGGCTGATAGGCGTGATATATTTAAGTAATATCAGCACCCGTACAGCCTCTTCACCCTTTGTGTATTACTCCGCCCACATACAGCCAGCAGAAAGCAGACACTACAGATCTAAAGTTTAAAAGATGCTCGCTCAGCTGTTTAACTGTCAGCTTATGATTTAAATTCAACGCGGAAGAAAGTAGTTCCTCATACAAAAGGGTTTTTAAGACTTTTTATGTTTGATTTTGTTTTTGTATACACAATTATGCCATCAAACTGTTGTAAAAACGCAATATCACAGTCGTAGCAGTGCGATATGGCTGTATACCGGCACTGGTGGGGGTTGAAGGCACTCGGCCGCAATATATATACAAATATACAGCCATATCGCACTGCTACTCGTGTGATACTGCTGATATATATATATAGTTGAAGTCAGGATTATTAGCCCCCTTTAAATTTTTTCCTTTTTTAAATATTTCCCAGATGATTTTTAACAGAGCAAGGAAATTGTCACAGTATGTCTGATAATATTTTTTCTTCTGGAGAAAGTCTTATTTGTTTTATTTCAGCTAGAATAAAAGAAGTTTAAAATTTTTTAAACGCAATTTTAAAGACAAAATTATTAGCCTTTAAGTTATATTTAATTACTTGCATAATTACCCTAACCTGCCTAGTTAACCTTATTAACCTAATTAAGCCTTTAAATGTCACTTTAAGCTGTATAGAAGTGTCTTGAAAAATATCTAGTCTAATATTATTTACTTTTATCATGACAAAGATAAAATAAAACTGTTTATATATATATATATATAGATATATAGTATGCTTTTGAAATGTGTATAATAAATGTGTTTATTTTATACATTTATTTATTTACAAAAGTGTTTTTATTATATGCCTTTTAATAAATAAATAAATAGAAAATATGTAAAAAAAAATCCTTAAATGAGACAAAACTTTGGAAGAATTAATTCAAATATTAAAGTACTAATATTAAAAAATATATAAAATAATTAAAATAAATAAAAATATCAAACATTCATTTATTCAGTTTCTTATCGGCTTAATGCCTTTATTAATCCGGAGTCACCACAGCGGAATGAACTGCCAACTTTTCCAGCAAGTTTTTACGCAGCGCATGCTCTTCCAGCTGCAACCCATCTCTGGGTAGACTAAATTGTCCGTAGTATATGAGTGTGTGTGAATGTGTGCATGTGGATGTTTCCCCAATTCGCCTGTACCACATGTGTTTGGACTGTGGGGGAAACCGGAGCACCCGGAGGAAACCCACGCGAAGGCAGGGAGAACATGCAAACTCCAAACAGAAACGCCAACTGAGCCGAGGCTCGAACCAGCAACCTTTTTGCTGTGAGGCGACAGCACTACCTACTGCGACACTGCCTCGCCAAAATATTAAACAACTGAATATATTTTAAATATGAATATATTTAATATATTAAAGCTTAATTTATTTCTGTGATTTTTAGCATCATTAATCCAGAAACCACTCTAGTATGCGGATTCTCAAAATAAACGGCTGGTTAAAAAATTATTATTAATGTTTTTGTTGAAAATAAGACTTTTTTAAAAAAATTTTTAGCTTTCTTTGATGAACATAATAAAATGTATAAACACAATAAAACAGCTCCATTATTGACATTTATTTACACCTGGAAAAAAATATATACTTCTCCATGACGGATAACAAATGAATTAAATACTTTTTCTATGCAAAAAAAAAAAAATCTACTGTACATGATGTGCTTACAGAAAAAAAAAACATTAGTGGTTAAAGCGTCTGATAGAAAAATATCATTTATGCCGCAACATTTTACTCACCAACTCATTACACACGATACAAAAAAAGTCTTCATTGATATCATTCAATAACAATGAGCACGGCAACAGATAAAACGTCCTGTACAATACCGACCCATATAAAGGAGCAGATCAAAAATACATGTGTTAGAAAATATCCTTCGTTATAACAAACAGGCGTTCTGTTACGGGCGTATTAGAATATACCTCTATAAAATTCAAGCATGTTAAAATAGGTTTGTTCTTCAAATATAAAACACGAGTGGTTGCCCAACAACCAGTTTTCACAGGTCTGCACCTATTATCATTTTCATGTGGAGCATCCCATAAATCCTCAGCTGTGACCAAACTGAAAGCAGTGTGTGTGTGTGTGTGAGAGTGTGTGTTAGTGAATTATATTATACAGGATTATGAAGGTCTTTGGTTGCTCACCGGTTTGTTTGTCTTGCTCAAGGCACACAACAGGAAGCTTTTACACTACCGGTCAAGAGTTTTACCGTATTACAGTTTTGTCATGCATTTATTTGATTCAAAGCAAAATTTGGAAATGTTTATATTACTTAAAAGAACTGCTTTATATTTAAACATATTTTAAAGTTTCTTTTATTTCTGGGGTTTTTAGCATCATTACTTCAGAAATCATTTATTTTCTGTGTAAAAAATGAGATTTTTTGATGAATAGAAAAAAAAAATAAGGAAATAAAACCTGCTAAATTAAAGTATTAATTTATGTAATTTAGTTTCTACCTAAAAAAAAATAAAAAAGATTTTGAATAGTGTTTAATGTTAAAAAAGCTGTGTATTTCGTATAAATGCTGATCTTTGGATCTTTCTAATCATCAGAGAACCCTGAAAAAACAATAAATAAATGTTAATGATGATGATGATAATAATGAAAACCAACAATAATAATATTGATAATAAAAATGATTATGATAATAAATTAACTAGTATGATATTAATAACATTTATGATAATAAAAATTATTATGATAAAAAATGACAGTACAATTATTATTGCTATCATTATTTATTATTATTATTATTATTATTATTATTATTGATCATAACAATAACAATGATATTGATAATGATAATAAATTAACAAATATGAGATTAATAATAATAATGATGATTATGAGAAAAAAATAAAACAATGACATTGATAATAACAATTATGTTAATAATAATTAATATTATTGTTATTATTATAATAAAACACATCAATAACAATAATAATAATGATTAATATACTAAAATTAACAACAATATTGACAATATAGATATGATAATAAAAATAAGACTATGAAAATAAAAACAACAATATTGATCTTAATAATAATTATTATTATGCATTAACAAATATGATATTAATAAATAATAATGATAATAAAAATAATAATTATGATAAAAAATAAAAATAAAATATCGATAATAATAATCATAAAAATAATAATAGCAAAAACAATGATACTAATAATAATTATAATAAATTAAACATGAGATTGATAATAATAATGATTCTGATAAAAAATAATATTCTGATAAATATTATCATTATCATAAAAAAATTGATAATGATAATAATTACTATGATAATGAATATTATTATTATTATGAAAAAAATTAAAACAATGATATTGATGATAATAATAATTATGTTAAAAATAATAATAATAATAATAAAATAAAAATACATCAAAAATAATAATACATGTTTATTGAAAAGCAAAGCAAAATATTAAAATGATTTCTGAAGGATTGTGTGACTGGAGCAATGGTGGTATTGATCAGCTTTGACATGACAAGAATAAATTACTGTAATTATATATATATATATATATATACTTTGACTAAATAAATGCAGACTATAGGCAAGACATTTGGTAGTGATTTTTCCCCCATCTTTAAAGACCCATCATGCATTTAAGACGTTCACATGATGAAATAAGCTCAAGCACTGAATAGAACTCATGATTATGAACATTTTGAGGAGAAATGAAACGTTTGCGTTTTGTTGCTCGAGACATTCGACAGATAAAGTGCAAGTGATAGAAGGTCCAACAATCATGTAACACACTTCAACCCGACTTTACACCCAAAACTCAACACTTGGTCCTAAAGGAGATGGAAAACATTCAAAATCCAATCAATCAGAAAATGAAAGGCACAAAGAAACCGCAAAACACATGGTATTCACCGCTGTAGCTCGAGAAAGTGAGTGTAAATATAAACCGAATTTGCATAATGTGATAATTATACAAACCAGTATTATGTTCTGATGACAGTGTGTGTTTTTGTGAAGCAAAGCTTATTTTCAGCCACAAAAAAAGGTAATTGCTAATTTAATAATATATCTGACTTTATATTTAGATATTGCTTTTTTCTTTTAGAAATTAAAGTTTGTGTCTCTAAAATATGTTTGAACTTCACTATTGGAATTCTGAGGGAATTAAAGCCAAAATTGAGGCTACAAAACAGTTGTTAAATGTAAACTTGAATTGCAAAAATAAATAAACACAATGCCGACCATATTTTACAATTAAAACTTGTTTTTCTTGCAATTTAGATTTGATTTCTCACATATTTTCATATTTGTCTTTCTGTGAATTGCACAATAACAATAAACAAAAGTCAGAATGGCAAAATATGAAAATAGTTTTTTAAATGTGCCGAGTTAAACCTGCAAGTCTCTCAAAATTGTGTGCATACAGTGAGGAGGTATGAGTCTGACTCACAACAGTTAAAACACTGTAGTCGCAAAACTAAGGGGGGAAAAGGGCACAACTGCTGAATATGGAAGAATCGTGAGAGAAAAATGCTAAATTCATATTTCACAAATCAAAATACAAAATTGTGAGGTATAACATTTGCATTGCAAGAGGAAAAAAATCAGCAATTGCAAAAAATTGCAAAAAATAGTCACAACATTTCTGAAATGCAAAATTGGGAAACTGGGAGTAAACTTAAAATTACAAAAAAAAAAAGCTTTTGCATTTTTCCAGCCATATCTTTCTCTCTTTTTTCAGCAATCTTTTTGTGGTAAATCACTATCCCCCTATTTTTTGTTATATTTAGAAAAATAAAAATAAAAATAAATTTATTATTATTATTATTTTTGTATTATATGTATGTATATGTATATATATATATATATATATATATATATATATATATATATATATATATATATATATATATATATATATTTATTTTTTTTTTTTTTTTTTTTTTTTATAAAAAATAAAAAAAAAAAAAAAAATGAATAAAAAAAGAAAGATATATATAGATAGATAGATATATATATATATATAGATATATATATTTTTTTTTTTTTTTCACTTTTTCTCATTCACACACACTTGCGCATTTTTTATTTTTTGATTTTATTTTACTCTTTTTTTTTCTTTTGCTTTTTTTTTTTTTTTTTTTCTGTTTTTGTTTTTTCTTTTGTTTTTGATTTTTTTTTTGTTTTTTTTTTATATATTTTTTTTCTTTTTCTATCTCTCTATT